GACAGCGGCCAACACAACCTGGAGATCTCCTCCCTGAGAGCGGGGAAACGATACTGGATCACCATGGCCGCCGTGAACGGGGCCGGCGTGGGCGTCCTGAGCGACCCTCGTGGATTCGTCCTCAGTAAGAACAGAGGTTTCTGTTTTACGAGTCACAACGGAGCAGAGTGTGTGATGACGGCGTGCTTCTGTATTTTTCTCCACACAGACCCGGAGTCAAGCAGCAACCCAGAGACAAACAACAACCGGCGGGATCTGTCCCACGTCCTGGACCTGCTGCAGAACCCGGTGCTGATTGGCTGCGTTGGCGCCCTCCTGTGGTGCGTCCTGATGGTTGCAGCCGTCTGGCTGTTCAGACGCCACAGCAGAACCGGCCGCCTGCTGCCCAGGCACGGCAAAGCTAGAGGTGCGTACACAGAAAAATGAGATGTTCACGCGTTTTTTGTGTTCGAGGATCCCCATATCTGCAGCTATCCACTAGAACAAGAGAACGCTCTTCATATTTGCTCTTCATTTTTTCATTCTGCAGGTCTCCGCAGACTCGCCAGTGAAGATCTCATCATTAAACACAGGTAAAGAAGCCTTTAAATCTACTCAAACAGCAAGTTTAAGTCTAGCTGTTTAATTCTGAGAGTCAAACTTAATTATTGACATTGGAATTTTGTGTGTATATATATATGTGTATATGCCTTTTTTTATTTATGGAGCTAGTAACAAAAATAATTTCCCTCTGGGATTATTAAAGTATTTCTGATTCTGATTCTGATTCTAAATCCACCTTTTGATGGGTTGGTGTGATGGACCCAAATGGGTAATTTTTGTGAAAAGTTGAATAAATGAAATTAATAATAATTCATAATTTTTTTCTCTCTGTCCAGGATGGTAGCTCCGGATTCTCCGTGGATCTCTGGAAGCTGGAGGCCCGCATTCAGTCAGAAGTATCAGGACTTATGGGCTCAGGGTCAGAAACATCCAGGGATCCGCAGCACCAGTGAGTACTGGCAGTAAATAAATAAATAAAACACTGAAAACAGTTTCCAGCAGATTCAAGTAACTAACGCAAAGTATTTTGAGAACGTGAATCAGTGAACAGGTTCTGAATTTACATCTTTAGACATCTGCAGTAAGAAACCGTCTAAATCCACTACAGTGAAAATAAAAAATCTTAAAAAAAACACAGGCTCCATTAAAACTGATCTGACCAAAGGAACTCATCCCCTCTGATTAGGCTTTTAAACAGTGACATTTTGACTCATTCCTGGTTTTACCTCAGTTTCACTTCTGGGATGTGGGTTTACTTTCAGACAATGCTGCAATAACCTGCATCTTTTCTTAGACACTCAGACTTGATTTAATACCCCTAAATGTGAAGTTTTTAATATACTAACTCTTTAACTCTTAGACTGTGCTACTGTCCAGATCAACTTGGGACCACAGTTATGTTGCGGATTGTCTCACTGGTGTCCTCCATGTCTCACCAGGCCTCCCCGTTTCGTCTAAGGAGGGCGGCTCTCTGGACTCCTCCGTTCCCGTGGCGACGGACAGCTGTGGCGTGTACGGCACGTTTTTCGTGGACCTCACGGGGAGCGGACTGAAGACCTTCAGCAGCCCCGCGCGCTGCCCCAAAAGGCCTCACGGCGCGCCCTACCAGCCGGGGGCGGAGACCATCCAGATATTCAGCCAGCCCGCCTCCAAATCCTCCTCCCTCAGCAGCCAGGAGGCGTTGCCATGGAAACAGGCCATCCGCCCTCAGCCGAAGATGGGCGTTCTGAGGGAATCGTGGGAGAAGCACCATAAGAAAGGTGATTTCTTGTGGTGGGGCTGCTGGTTTTTACACTAACTCTGGAGCTGTGGATCTGTTGACCGTTTCCTTTTTTACTCCAGAGCTGCATGCAGTGAACAGCGTCCCTGTTCTGTCCACCAGAAATCAGCCTCACTCCTCCAGTGTTTACCAGCAGAGGCTCAGTCACATACCAGCAAGCCGGGCTGGTACGTGATCATTTTTACCTCCAGAAGGAGAATTTTTCTTCTTCTCCTTCTCTCCATACTTTGTGAAGTCCCTGGAAACTGAACAGACTGGGTTTAAAGGGGACATATTATGAAAAACCAAGTTTTTAATAATTTGATTATGTACATTTGGGACTGTGGAGGGCCTATAAGTAGGCAAAGTTTGAAAATGAATGACTCAGTCATATTTTTGTGGGCTGCCTCAGTCTGAATCCAGGAGATAAATCAGGAGGTTTCAGGAGTGGGTAGTTTCTGACGTCATTAGCTCTAGCTCATTATAATATTCCAGCCTTTCACCTGCATGTTGCCCCCCCCTCAGCTTACTCCCCTATCTGTGGCAGACGTCGTGGTAGCGTGAGCGTTAGCATGGTAGCGTTAGCATGGTAGCGTTAGCCTGGTAGCGTTAGCGTGCCGACGTGGGCACACCTCCCAGAAGAAGTGGGTGGATTGGCTGTGTCTCATTTGCATTTAAAGAGAGAGGCACTCCAAAGCGAGCGCTCTCAACGGGGCTTTTTTTGGCAGGGGGACTGAACTGCTATTGGGTAGACAGACATTACATTAGGACACCAGGGAACTAGGTTATTTTGTTGAAATAGGGTATAATATGTCTCCTTTAATGTGTCTGCAGACTCTGGCTGCTCTCGCCTGCTGCAGTACTCTGCCTCCCTACACTTTATGGACATGCTGCCTCCGCCTCCTCCAGTTCCCAGAGAGGAGCCCACAGACGGACACAGCTTCTCCTCAGACGAAGGGTAAGCAAAGTCCCGTTCTGTAGCTGAGAGCTCCCACCAAACTGCCTCAGTGCAGAGTAATTCAGTGGACTGTAAAATGCCCAAAATCAGAAGGTGGATTGAACAGTAGAGTAGAACCACTGTTCTTTGGTTGTCTGTAGGGATGTCCCTATCTAGCTTTTTGCACTTTCGATCCAAAACCGATCTCGGCCTATCAGAACATGTGCTAAAGTTTAAAGTTATTTATCTACTTACTTAGTTGTCAGACTCATGTTGAACAGGGATTTACTCTGATAACAACTTCATGGTTAGGACACAGACCTGTGGGTTAGCAGATGCTAATGCTAATGTTCGTGTGGGATCGGACTTAAAAAAATAAAACTGGATCGGGAGTCTGCATCGGCATTTTATCCTGCCGACCGATCAGATCCAAATATCAGATCGGGACAAGCCTAGTTGTCTGATGTATTTCAACCAGAGACACGAAAGGGTAGTTGATCCGGAGTCCGCAAAGAGCTGCAGTTTTTAAAGGGAAACGCGTGTTTTCACATCTGCTCCAGCTCCAGTCGTTCCACAAAGCTGACGGAGGACACGGGCTCCCTCGGGTCCCAGCCGGGGCCCGGCAGCCCCCCCCACCGCCACCCGTCCACCAGCTCTTACCCCGCCTCCCTGACCACCGAACAGAGCAGTACGCTGACCTCCCAGGAGGCCGCCGAGTACCTGGAGCTGAGCCCCAGACCGGAGCGGCCCAGGTAGAGCTCTGCCGGGCGTCAATTCAATTCAATTCAATTCAATTTTATTTATATAGCATCACATCACAACAACAGTTGTCTCACAGCGCTTTCCAAACAGAGCAGGTCAGACCCTACTCTGAAGTTAGTTACAGAAACCCAACAATTCCCACCATGAGAAAGCACTAGGCGACACAGGCAAGGAAAAACTTCCTTTTAACAGGCAGAAACCTCGAGCAGAACCATGGCTCAGGGTGGGTGTGAGAGAGAGAGAGAGGGCGAGAGAAGGACAGAGGGAGCAGAGAGAGGCCCCCAACACAGCAACACATACACTAGATGAAAAATGGCAATGATATTAACTAATTGACTGCCAGCCATTTTCAGAACAGAGAGTTTTTTGAGCATTTTCACTGATTTTTCAAGAGCCACAGAATAGTTTGTGCTATGACTATGTAAACACCAAACACACCAAAAGAAAGAGTAGACTCTCTTCTTTCATCAGGAAAAAAATTTGTTTCTACCTTATTCCGTTCTTCCTCGACGTGCGTCTCACTGGCTCCATTTCTCTCATAGTGAACCATTGCGCTTTTTTTTATTTGCCTACAGTCTATGCTCATCTCCCATCAAAAGTGGCACTGCCCCCTAGAGGGTCAATTTGTTACTACATACTCTGTCTAGAAGCCTGATATTTACGGAAAAGCTTTAGCCGACCGTCCCCCAAGCCACTCGCGTTGAAAAACATAAAAGACGTCTATAGACGTCTTTGGCAGCCAATGAGTTAATACTAATGATTATGGCAGAAGTTATGACAGAAATAACACTATGCAGAGTAGTAGCAGAGCAGAAACACGGGGGCTGCAGGAAACTCCCAACCACAGATCCAGACTCCACAGCTCTAGGAACACCTGCAGGAAGTAGGGATGGGACGGTTTCTGAAAACCGTCCGAACCGTTCGGTTCGACTGTCTCGGTTCGGTTGGCGTGTGTTGCGTTCGGTTCATGCTGCTCCTTTTTCTCAAAGCGAAGCGTGTTCACTCCAGAGCAGAAGGGGGCGCTACTGCGCCCAAAGCCAACCACCAGTATTAAAATAGAAGAAGAAGCGAAGCAGCGTAGCCGATAAAAATCCGACGCACCAACAGCAGTTTCTAGGTCTGCTGTATGGGACCACTTTGCATTTAGAGGGAAGCACATGTTGGAATTAGCACTGTTTCCTCTCTGGCAATGCCAGAATCTCACCTACTTTTAACCTAAGACTGTCAATAGTACATACAATAATGTATCAAATGTCAGACTGCTTTTTTCTTTCAGTTTTAACCTGACTATACAAGACATAATAGATTTACCTAACAATCAACATATACCGAACCGAACCGAAAACCGTGACCACGAAACCGTGAATAAACCCGAACCGTGGATTTTGTGAACCGTTCCACCCCTAGCAGGAAGTGACAGGAGGAGACTCCCAACCGCCTAATCAGAATCAGAATCAGAATCAGAATAAGAATCAGAATCAGAATTAGGTTTATTGCCAAGTAGGTTTTTCACCTACAAGGAATTTGCTTTGGTGTTTGGTGCACAACACTTTGAGAAACAAGAAAGGACATACAATGTAGAAATAAAAATATAGAATAAAATAAATAATAAAATAAAATATTGAATGGGCCGCAGCGTAGCCTAACGGCTAGAGCGGGCGGCCCATATGCGGAGCCTCCGCATGGGTGTCCTGGGTTCGATTCCAGCCCATGGCCCTTTCCCGCAGGTCTCCCCCTCTCTATCTCTGCCCCCTTTCCTGTCAAAGCTACTGTCATTAAAGGCCACTAGAGCCAACAAAATCTTTAAAAAAATAAATAAATAACATATTGAATGTCCAACGACGCCCCTCTCTCCGCAGCGTCCTCCCAGAGCCGCGTCCCTCCGTGGGCCACCGCTTTGCCCCCACGCTGACCGCCACCCCCGGGGCCCCTCCCCCCCCCCCCCCCCGACTCCCCGCCGGTCAGCCTGCGCCGCGCCCGCCTCCAGAGCTCTCCGTCCTCCTGCTGCAGCGAGTGGGACGGCTCGCTGTGGGCCGGCTGGAGCTCGGCGGGGGGCAGCGCCCGCACCAGCCTCCTCAGCTCCGCGGACAGCTGCTACACCGCCGACAGCGCCGCCTTCGCCCGCCTGCTCGCCGCCGCCGCCGGGAGCGTGAGCGGAGCCTCCCTGTCAGGTCAGAAAACAGAGAATCCAACCCTTTAATTCAATTCAATTTTATTGCTATAGCGCCATATCACAACAACAGCAGAGATGTATGAAGTACTGGAGTAGAGGAGTGGAGTAGAAGAACAAGTACTATATAAAAAAATTGACTTGAGCAAAAGTAGAAGTATTCTTTCAACTCCAGACTTAAGTGGAAGTACGGAAATACTCCATTTTTTTGTACTTAAGTATTGCAAGTACAAGTATTTCAAAAATTGCTACTCAAGTAT